AAACCCCAAAACCCCAAAACCCCAAAACCCCAAAACCCCAAAACCCCTAATAATCCTATAATTCTTGAAACTCTTTGAATCATTTCATATCAAGGCCTTTAAAATAGAAATATGGTGGCACCATTGGATACTGTTGGATCATCTACATAGGATTCAAGACTATTAATATCTGAGGATAGCAAACAAAGACGTTTTCAAAGATTAAGTATTTTCAAATCTTTAGGAATAATTTCATAAACCCATTGGAAAATAAATCAAGTAAAAGAAGAGAGAAGCTATACCTCCTGTTTAAAAAGAATTATTAAGCCAAATTCAAAAACCTTAAGCCACCTAAAACAGTATGTTTCTAATTGTACATCACTTATTATGAGAAAAGTCTTCCAAGTCCACTTGGCCCGGTAGTATTTGAAAATATTTCAGCCGAGGAGGAAGTCCTGAGTACGTTCTGAGGTCTTTCTGTTTCCCTGTTATCTGATTTTCATTTGTAATCACTTTCATATGACTCTTCTTCGTTCTGGTATCCGGAAGGTTCTCCTTCTAGGCCCTTTTGTCCTTCATTTTCTTGCTTTACTAAAGTACTGAGTTGTGCTATTGTTTCTGTCTTTTTCTTTAACTTAATGGAGAGTTCATGATTCTGGTTGATCAGCATTCCATATTTTAAAGTCGTGTAGCTAAAGATGAGACTAATATGCTACCTTTCTCTTTTACGGAGATTCTCAATGACTTCAGCTTGATCCTTGCTTTTACGCTGGTAATAGACTAGCTCTGACTTGGTCTTAGCAAGTTCAGACTCTAGTTCTGAGAATTTTGTCTTTACCACTTGAATAAATTCCAATAGTTGTTTGTTCTTATAGGCCTCATTTTGGCTCATCTGGATCTCGGCAACCTTCTGTTCTACGTTGAGAGATTGATTTCTGGAGTTAAACTCAAACTCTGTTCTTGAGGCACTTGCTGAGTTGTAGCTAGATTTCTCTTCAGTTTTGGCCCTGGAGAAGAACTTAGAAGCATCAATGGTAGCTTTTATCCCGTTTGGCCTTGGATTTGATCTGTCAAATCTTCCTCCCATCATACTTTTCTGGGAGCAGGCTGGTGATAGAGTTTTTCTTCGAGGTGATAAAGAAGAATTTATGTTGTCAGTATGAGACTTTATGATTGAAATCAGCTGATTCTGCTGCCCTTCCTTGGTAGTAAAGACATTCATCCCTTGAGACCTCACTGGAGGCTGAGAATGTGAATTTTCCTCACTGTGAAGTTTCCTCATTAGAGGACTCTTTCTTGAAGATCTGCCATTGAGGTTTCTATAAGGATTATTTATGTCCTTACTTAATCTGGGAATTATATTGCTGATCAAGCTCAATATCTCCTTTCATGAAGGTATGGATGCTATCTCTTTTCTTTTGATTCTCTCCCATTGAATCTTTCTGAGGAGAGATTTTCTTAAGAGATACTTGAGGACTCTCATTAGGTTTCTTGGTATGACTACTGTTTCTTCCAACAAGTTCTTTCCTATTCTGGTGCCTTTCAAGGACTTGCTTAGTATAGCGTTCTCTAGCTTGGGATTTATTCTCTTCTTTATCTTTTTTCTGCTTCTGTTTTGGCTTCGAGATTACACTGAGTCTAATGAAAATAATTCAGAATGCTTACTTATTCGGAGAATGTTGTCCTTTTTGCTTATCCTTCTTACCTCTCAAGACAGGTGTGCTATAATCAGCTTTGGTTAAAGTCTTTGAATTAGTGGCAATAGAAGATGTGCTATAGAGGCTATTAATCCTTATTAAGTTGATAAAGAGCATACCTAGGTTCTTTATTTAACATTCTTAGACTCTTCTTTCCCATTGACACCCTCTACACTCTTAAGTAAAGGTTTGAACCTCATGGGCTTATTGTCAATGATCAAATCAGCATTGCTCTTAGTCATTTTAGTGTTATTACTAAACTTGGAGATCTTTTTATTGATCACAGCTATAAGAAAAAGTGAGAAATAACGATCGTTAAGCCTAAAAGATTTCCTCTTAGCCGGAAACCTCTGAAGAGTCCCTAGAAACTTACGTGTAGAAGATAGAGTAGCAGTGTTAATTGGAGGAGCAAATTTAGGTCTGATTGTTGAGGAAAGTTTGTCCTTGTTTCGCTCGAGAAATGCTTTAATCCTATCAGTGCTCATACTTTAGGCTTATTATAAATTCTATAATTTTAATTCACAAAGGGGTTTTGGGGTTTTGGGGTTTTGGGGTTTTGGGG